TTTTACCACCCAGAGCGGCTTGGGGATCGTTTTACCCCGAACTTTTACAATTTGAAAACCCCTAAGAACGAGGTTTCTTTCACCGTTTAAGCGACGCTCATTTATTTCCTCTTCTGCAGCTCGCCTCTTAATACGATCACCTAAACTGAGATCCTCACGGACGTATATTCCGGATCCAGTTAGTTTACATGAGTTACCTAGAATCAGGTTCTTTTCTTCTACCGTGGTGAATGTGACCTTCAAGAGGCGGTTTTTCTGAGGAGTTTCGGAATATACTTTTTGTCCTATTCTATGAAGCTTACAAATACTAACAACTGAAACTGTATCTGGGAGTAGTTAGCCTATTAATGACTTAATATGACTGAAATTTTGTTCAGCTCTAGCCTTTGGTTCCTTATCGGAAGATTCTCTTAACTTATGAAAAATGACTGATCTCTCAGAGAGATCTGTCTTGACACGCAGTGGATTATTTGTTTCTGATAACGTCTCTTCCAATGACTTGTTAGCCAGCTGTGTTTTGCCTACAGCTTTTTTCTTCTCATTCCTTTTTCTCCGTAGTGACGTCCATTTATCATCACTCAGGACAGCCAAACCTGGACTATTTGGGACGGTGACAGTTTTATCCGTGTCTTCAATTTCTACTAGAGGTGTTTGATTGCCGATATCAGTATCTAGCGGCACTTCACTCCTCGTTAATGTTAACGGAGATCTCACTTTCCCGTCAATCGCAGTCGGGTGTCTAGCGGTTACGGTAGCAGCACTCACCACACTGACACATACTTCACCGTCAGTTCTCGTGTTACTAGCGCTACCGCCATCGTTTTCCTTGTAGGCCAAAGCCAATGGGCTTGTAGCCTGCTGGACTAGTAACTTTTTATTTTTACAGTAGAACATACCAAGTCTGTGTGAGTTAGGCTTCGAGCATCTTTTGTACACCATAGGACTTAGGTGAGTACACATCTTATGATACCACTTTTTACAATCATCGCACTGCATCCCTTCCTCAACGGGGAACAAGGAGTTGTCCACATTTATGAGTCTTACCAACCATTTTAATTTTGATTAAAAAGGTTTAAAACATAATATGACCACAGTGTGAACACTAGTACCAGTCAGGGAGTAAAAAAGGTACCACAGGACAAAGTTGAGCAAAAAATTACAAAATTTAACCGAAGTACTTTTAGTTAAAATAGGACAAGAATGCTTTTTGGTGCAACAAGTACCCACAGCAAGGTTAATCACAACAAGTCCAAAAATCACCACTTTTTGAAACGAACGCGGTACTGTAAATGACATCATTACTTATTGCATCATTACTTAGATCAGATTATGATGATATCATAAATTATTAGTAATAATTTAAGTTGTTCAACTTTTCATACTTCTTACTGTAGACTATAACTGTTGGTTACAGTGATTGACCTAATGCGGAGTTTTTAAAGTTGTATGCGCCACTGGATTTTTGATTATCTGCAGACGTGAAGGCTTAGATGTAGAGGATTCAGTTGGCTTGTGCAAAGTCTACTCACATATCATTTACATCAGAAAGCGTTTTTTTAACATTTTGAAGTCGTACGTTTCAAAATCTTCAAAAGCATGTCTTAGTCTATTTCCTTCGTCTAATTTATTTGTGTATTTTGAACTTTATGAATTTTTCACATTTGTAACCACCTAAAAAATTATAATTGTGAGTCAGTCGATATCGGAATGTGTACTCATGATAGGGAGCTCAGTGCAGAATATTTGCAGACAACTGCTGCTGTCTCCAACCATCTATTACCCTAGGAAAAATGTATCAACTTATACTCTGGAAACAATAAAATATAATTAACTGTGATGTTTGATTGGATTAAAATTACTCTAATGTCCATAGCGCTCAGTGAATAATAATGAATTCGTAGGACTATACATTGACGTCGAGATGTGGGTGGAAAAGGATATATATATATATATATATTTATATGTCAGTGGATTTCGCTTCCTAATATAGGGTATTTTGTAGTTTAGCACAGGTAGTTCAAATGAAGAATTGGTTCTAGTGTTGGCAGTTCGTATCGCTTTTATCCGAGTTTTTCCGAATCACAATAATTATGATGCTATTCACAATAGTTTATTTGTCATCAGGCTTAACGCTTTCCAGTGGTTTTTGAGTACTTCACATATATTCTTCATTAATAATAACAATTGGTTTGTCCACCTAATCTTACTTTTGTAGCAAATATCAAAGGCTGCTCCTAATTCCGGGATAAGATAAAGCAGAAAAGTCTAAACGTTCCGGTCAGTTTTGGATTTGTGTTTCGAGGACGTAGAATCGAAGGTCTATGTTTGTTCTTTCTTAGTACGCTTCTGTTTTTGTAGCTTCCTTTGTAATATGAAAATTAACGTCACATACATCACTTTTTCCAGTATGCTCCAAGTTTACTAATGATTAAAAAGACCTGTTTACTACAAGGACAAAGTCTGAACTTGTCTTCGGATCTAATCCTTGTTTCTTTCGCCATCACTTAGAGGAAGTGAATATTCAACGAGAGCGCTATTGGACCGTAAAACTAGGCCAAGTACGACACTCAGGACATCCGTATCTAACACTTGATTTATTTTTTTGGAGCACTTGAATTTTAGGAACGTTTAATGCGAATTGCAGTATCTCTGTTCCCCCTCTATATAAAGGGATTTTGTCGAAAAAATATACTTTGCAATCATCGATATAACGTCTTGGGATATTGTCTATATGCAACAGTAGTTCTGCGCATCTTTTGTGTCACAATTGTTTGTAGTTTTTATGCTGCATTTCCTCTTCAACAAGGAAGTATAAGGCTGGTTTAGCATAATAATTTCCCACGATCATTTGTATGGAGATCAACTTAATTAGTTAAAGTTTTTGTTATAGTTTGTTGGAAGGAAACGTTGAGTAGTCCACTAGTTCTATAGGAGTCATTCAGTCAGCTAAAACGTAGGACCAGACACATATGTACATCTGTCCAAGTTGCCACACCTCATTGGCACAAGACGAACACCAAATTCGTAGAATTAATTACTACAATGGTCGTAATATATAAAAGGAAAATTGCTTATATAGATATAATACAGGAAGAAAGAATTAGTTCGTATAAAGAAATTTATAAAGTAATTTTGATCTCATGGTTTAAGGGAAGACAAAGAGTGTATACATCTACACTGTTGTGATCGATTCTTAGCCATGTCACATAGTCACCAACCATTGATTACGACAGTTGCGTGGACCCCAACCAAGTAGACTGCATCTACCAACATGGCTCAGACCAGAAGTTAGTGGCTCTATGGACTGATGTGATGTTTTGGTTTGGCTGCCCCTAACCTTCTTCCAACCGTTCCTAACACTAGTCAGCATTGCGTGTCATGGTACTCGGTGTTCAGGCATACTCATCACGTGGCCGAACCATCTCAGTCGATCAAGATTTACAACCTCATCTACTGATTTATCATCATTCCATAATACCCTGCGTCTAACCTCACTATTACTTACCCGATTATCCCAGTAGATGTTGGCGATCTTTCTAAGACAGCTGTGATCAAATACTAGTAGCTTACGGGTATCTTCTACTCTTAATGGCCACCTTTCGCAGCCCTTACGGCTGAGAACTTTGTTAACACAAGATATGACATAAATTATAACAGTTCACATTAGCACAATTAAAGGAATGAAAATCTCAATTTATAAAAGCAATATTATCTCCAGAATCAAAGAACTAGAAGCCATTAAAATTAGTCAAAGCGACTAATAAAATATATGGAATAATAATACCTTCGAGACATGGATAAGGCTAAAGAATGGTTATTATGTACACTTAGGGAATCACAGCATACTAGTTCTACGTCTATAAGACTCCTATTCATGTCGTACTTGTTCAAAACATACTTATTGTCAGAGTGGCGATTGTCCATTTATGTGATAAACTGCTAACCGATGTTGGTCTTCTCTTCCTCTACTGTGTTCCGATGGTTTTCTGAAAATACTTTGATCATTAGTATTATCATTTATTGATCTAGAAATTTAAGTGATAATTTACACCGACAAAGACGTCTCTTAGCTACAACCCAAACTCGACTTTTTGAAAATAAAACTTACAAACAAATTCTAGTATCTGTACTGTCGAATATCATAGTCATGATACCATAACAATTCATGTTTTCTACTCAAATAAATTAGAGGTGTCTTTGCAATATGATGTGATGACCACTAAGCATCGACCAACAAGAAATTCTAAGCATTTTGGGAAAATATTGTCGGGTGTTTTTGCGGTACTTACGTTAAGCTTCATCCATAGTATTGTGTTCAAACAACTAGTTCATTACTCAAATACGAAACTTACATAAGTATTTCCACGATATTGTCACAACGTTGATTGCTGGGTTTCACGATATTGATTAGAAGATACTAGTAATCTATTGTAACTCTCACATTCCAGAATAAAAGCTGATCATTTCACATTTGTTTATCTTTCAAGATTGATTTGATTGTTATATCTTGTCATCTATATGAAATTTTTTTCTGAGTTTCATGGAAATTAATAATTCTGGTTTAATCACTTAATACGGAAATTGTGTTTCTTATGTCAACTGCTGACTAATTAGCAGTCTCTACGCAAATAATCTGTATCAAATCATTCAGCAAATACTTGCATGAGATATGTTTTCACAAAAGCATTTGCTCTAAATACTAGTCTTATTACTCTGTATGGAAGGTGGTGGGTTATTTATCAACGTAGAATTTGAGAGAACACAAAGAGTGTATGCACCTCTCGTATATCTAAAAAATTATGTGTCAAGCTTGATGTTGCATTTTATCTTGATAAGCTCTGTCTACAACGCACTAATATGCTACGATATTTACAAATTGTTGTTAACAACTTTATGCCTAAATGATATTGCTTATCAAAGTGTGATCATTTAACTTTTGTATTCTTTTAGTTAGGTCTAATTTATTTGTCTGATTATTCATTTAAAGTTACTAAGCTGATATGGATCCCGAGAAGTTTTTAAATTTCCAAATGCAAATGCGTGAAAATAATTTAGAAGTAGAAAATTTCCTAAATGATTTTGAAGCATGGAAGGAAACAGTTGGATCAAAAAGCAAACAATTAGAGAGTACATGTCAACCGGAGTTGCCGGCTATTCGTAATAGTTTACTAAAAAAGCATAAAAAGGTAAAACTATACCAGGAGTGTCTGATATTTTTTTTCCAAAAAATCACTTTCTCTAATAATTTTAGAAAGCAGTTAAACAAAGTGTTAACAATAAAAAGGTTGAACGAATCAAATCATATGATTATCGTGCTTGGGATAAATTTAGTGCTAAGCAGGCCTTAGATGATGAGCATAATGATGATCGTGATGTTGATAGGAACTCCACTTCTCCTAATGACCAAGATTGCAGTAGTGAAACAGATGAAGAACAAGAGGATCAGAGAAGAATTCAGTTATCTAAAGAAGCTCGTGAATTAGGCAATGTTCGTTTTAAAGTTAGTGTAATTATATATTTTTTTCACAGAATAAATGTTAAGATTTGATTTCACTAATGTTAAGCTTATCATGAAATCTCAGATTCAAATTATATTTCAAGGATAGAAGGCTCAGGGCATTTATTATTCCTTTTCTAGTAAGCTGCTGTGCGTGAATAATCTCTTGAATGAGTCAGTTTAAAGTGTGTATACCATATCTTTCGGTAGTATGTCCCTAGAGTTTTTCATTCAGCGAGGAAGCCTGTTTGTCGCGGGTATTTTGTTTTATCTTGGTATTTGAACTAGCCTGCTATATCCCTTGAATTGTTCTGATTTAGTTGAAAGAAGAAGAGGTAAATGAAACCGGAAACCCTTTCTTAGTATTCTATGCACCAAAATTAAAACATCCCGTAATCTGCATTGAGGATGTATTTCAGTAGCCATGGTTTACATGAAAGCTGAAAAAATCCGAAGTATTTCCTGAGTGAAAACATAGAAGTTTGCTAAGTAGGGATAAACACTGTATGCACTGCTAATTCTATAACCAATCGTCAAGATGTGTCATAATACACTATATTTTTTGTCACACGCTCAGCTACTAATCAGTGCTTTAATCATAAAAAATAAAGAATCTAGTATAGATTTGCATCAACCCGATTCTCTACACAACATAAGCACAACTAGATGGAATTATCTGGAGGGGTATTGCAGTATTAGTAATAGTAGTAGCAGTGATAATCAAATATCAAGAACTCGATTCGTCAAGAAAGAATAAATTTGCTGAATAAAATTATCAAATAATTACAGACTTAGAGTTAGAAGAAGAGCGAATGAATCTTCACCATTATAAATGACTCTAAGTCGCGTCACTCAACATCTCCAAAGATTGACTGCGGCTCTCACGAGGACCCTGATCAAGTAGTCAGCAGCTGCCAAGATGGTTAAAATTAGAAGCCAATAAATTCATGGACTATTGTCAAATATTAACTTGTTCACCCCTAACTTTTTTAACGTACTGCTAAGCCGTCCACCATCGTTCATCGAGATAGGCTATGTTTGGATATACATTCTACTTTGAGTGAAAGTAAAACAATAAGACTTCAAAAACCTTGTCTCTAAAGTCAATGTAGCCTTAATGATTAAACCCTTTAACTAATTGAGTACAAAACCACCATAATTAGTGAGTAATCTAGTATTTGTTTTTTTCGATTTGCCTTCAAATGTGGAAGCAGTTTATAGGGGACGAAATAAGTTTCAATATTGCGCAAACCGAAGCGACATACATCAATTTAAACCGCCCTTTATGTTTGTTTTTTTAGCATAAGTGTCGCAGTTTGGAATTTTAACACTTCAAAACCAGGAAGTTTTTTTGTGTGGCAATAAAATCCCATCCATTCAAGTCAATTATGCTTTTTGACTGTGTGTCTGGTCATCATTATCTCCCTATTAATCCTTGGACTCATCACCCAGCTCTGTGTAATTAGTGATAAGTCCAGGTCTAAGGGAGATTGTTACACTATAAACAAAATCATCTTGTAACAACAACCTAAATGTCTAACATGATTATCGTTCACACCTATACGTGTTTGATGTAGTTGTAATAATTTGGAAAAAGTAGAGGTAGTCAGTTTACTGCGTAATTCGGTGTATTGAGTGCCAATCGTTTTTACTATCATTTAACGAAAACTTAAGCCAATAACAACTTTGTTCAACTTTCTGCTCAAATATATTAAATCTATGAGTGCTTGCATAAACGCTTCTCGCTGTTCAGATTAACCTGTCTCTTTCTCATCGTGTTATTAATATTTCAGTACTTTCATTTATATCCCTTTCGATTTCCACTTCAAAATTGTAAATTAAAAAAACACAGATCTAATCAACAAGCATATCTCATGAGGTAATAGATTCAGTGTGTGGTAACTAATTAGATAACATTCAGTAATGTCTGTTTAAAGGTTTATCCATTTATATTTTTTCAAAATAAAACTTTTATATACACATTTTTGTTTCATAAACAAATAGGAAGGTAAACTAAATGAAGCTATTGAGCATTACACTATGGCCATACGACTTGCACCTGAAGATTCTATCCCATATATAAATCGTGCATTTGCTTATATTAAAACAGAACGTTATGCATCAGCTGAAGCCGATTGCACAGCCGCTTTAAGACTAGACAGAACTTCTGTTAAAGCATTTTATCGGTAAGTACTTGCTTGGGTTATTATTAATATCTTCAACTTAAAGTAGAATTACCGTGCTGAAATATAAAATTTGTTTAACCGTTATATAATTTGTAGGGTTTTATTTCAGTTAGGTAGACATTCAACTCATAATTTGGAAACGAAGTTTAAACTGATATTTATTCATATCAATTAATAGTTTGATTGTAGCCAATGTCATATTGTGTCTAATCCTTATTGCTAATCGAATTCTATTAATCAAGTTGTAGTGTGATGATATCTATGACTGTGAGTCCTGTGGGAGCATCAATTATCTTAGGATTCCAAAATCATCCTGTTGATTAGTGGTGACTGAGACGGAACCTGAGTTCGGAACTTCCAGCCATCTTACTTCAACCACCTGCCCTCTGCAATCTGTGTATTACCTTTGCCCACTGACTCAGTTGCTTTATGCGTCAACTGTTGATAGCTCACTTGAAGTTCGCTCATTCCTGAACCTAACAGTCAGAACATCAGAAAAACCATCCAGGTACCTTGTGTTCTTCGTGTTATTGTATTAATCGCTTCAAAAAGACCCCTAATTACGTAATATAAATGCTAGAGTACAAAGCTCCATAAATAATAAATCTTAATTGGTAAATAGCTGTGACATTTGTGATAATAAGGTGAGTAAGAGTTATGATTAATTACTAGTAGTTTATAACGAGCAAAAGGATGTCTCAACAGTCAGTAAGTTGAATGAAAGCCTCCTATTAGGATAATATAAAAATACCATTTACTTGATAGTTTACTAAATACACATAGGAAGCATATAAACTGATTCCTTTAAAATTTCATAACATTTTTCCCTACTTCTTAATTACTCTATATATCTACTTAACCTACATCTAAAGACCATTGTCAGACTTTAAGCTTACTACGTTGTGTTGAAATTTAGAATTGAAGACATGTAGTGAATAGAAACATCGAGAGTATTTATGAGTTTCCAATTATATGCTTTTCTGAGAACTCATAACTAACACAAAAAAATCATGTAGTTCATAAGATTTTGATTTTCGCCGAGTTAACTTTCTAGTTTTTATAATACTCACTTAATTAGATATATCGTAACGGTAACTGACGTGCTAGTTGACATATCCGTGTATCTATCAAGAAGTACAACGTTGTTACTAAACTACGTGACCTGATATTGAACTAAGTAAATTAGGCATTAATTTTTGCGAATATCAAGACTCGTGTTTTTGGCATTCATCAGAAAGTATCATCCATGTAACATTAGTGGATTAAACTGTGTTAGTGTTTTAAAACTGATATTATATATATAATGTTAAGATAACAACATAGGTAACCGGAACATTGTATCACTAATAAGAAATATAGAATTGAATTCTGATATGAAGTTTCTATTTGATGTTCAGGTCACATATTTTGTTGATCAGTAATAACAAGCACAAAAATCCATATCGACATTTTAGTAAAGGCTGTTTACAATACTGTGTCATATTAAGCTTTATTTGGCGCATTTATTACTTATGTATTAAATTATATTTCTTAGGAGAGCACTTGCTCGAAAAGGTTTGGGTCATATTACTGGAGCAATTGAAGATTTAAAAGAATTGCTTAGATTCGATTCAGATAATAAAACTGCCATAAATGAGCTCGAAGCTTTAATTGGTAAAAAGAAAGTCGCACACATATCTAATTCCACCGTGTCTTGTAGTTCAATTCAGTCGAGTAATCCGAGAAAAATGAGACGAATACCAATCATTGAAGTCGATGATGATAATCATAATAAACAAATATTAAGTACACCTGTGCAGAATAGTACAAAATCTGTGTGTACTAATGATGATAGTTCCGTCTCAAATAATAACAAGTGTTCTATTTTGAATAAACATCAATCAAAAAATGAGAGTGTTTTGCATTCGACTCCACAGACATCAGATCATTTGGAATCTCGGAATATATCCTCCAGTACGTCAACGCCAATAGTACCAACCAGTGAAACGATTAATCCTGAAAGTGATCATAATTTTAAACGACAACTCCCATTGTTGAATACGAACTTACACAAACCACCATCAAATTGGTTTCAGTTAGAACGTGAACTACGTGAATTATGCCAAAGAAATTCTTCATCTAACTACCAGCCAAACCTTAGTAAAGAAGCAATCATTTATTTGTGTAATATTCAACCAGTTCATTATGTGAAGTTATTCGGTGAAAATATGGAAAGTGATTTCTTATCACGTATGCTGCAAGCATTTTATCTTTCAGATCAATTGACAAATCAACACATTGTAGATCGTTTATTGTTTTTATCAAAATTGCCAAGATTTGATATTGCTTGGATGATGGTTGATGGATTAGAACGTGTAAATATAATTAAATTTATTAAGAATTTACAGAATGATAATTCACTTGATAAAGAATTACTCAAACAAATTTATGTACAGTTTGAATGTGAATAAATCTCTAATGTGGAATAAGAGGATATTTTCTTACTGTACAATCGTTGACTAACGATAATCAAATAGCTTTCCATTTGTTTTATTTTATTTCTAGTTGTCTGTTTTGATTACTGGGTTAATTTCTAAAAAGTAACATCTGATATAAAGAAACCGAAAAACGTACTTATTGAAAAATCTTGTATTGAAGTTATCTAGAGTACCTTGATTTCCAAAGGTTCGTCAGCTATGAACTCGATTTATAAATTATGTAGTTCCTTCATAATATTTCTATCTATATTGTGGTCAGTCACTCAGCTACGACGTAGGACCAGACACATATGTGCATTGGTCCAGGTTGCCATACCTCATTAGCACAGCAAGATGAACACCGGATTCATAGGAGTGGTTAGGTCAATGGCGGTAATATATAGGAGAAAGATTGCATATAAGGATATAGTATAGGAAGAAAGAATTACTAAGTAGAAGGAAAGATATGAAGTGATTTTAATCTCTTAGTTTAAGGGAAGACAGGGAGTGTATACACCTACGCCATTGTGATCCATTCTGAGCCATGTCACCAAGAATCTCCAACCATTGGTTACGAAAGTCACGCGGACCCCAACCAAGTAGTCTGCATCTACCAACATGGCTCAGACTAGAAGTTAGTGTCTTCAAGCACTGATGCCACGTTTTGGTTAATTAATCATCTTGATAACCGTTATTATATAATTCTCAACGGTTTGGGCACCCGGGCAGAGTATCCCAGCCCTCACACAAGTCGAATGATTTATGTGGCGCATATCTATTTGGTGCCTCCTTGTATCAATGTTTGTGTTTAAATAAATCAAGAAATAAAAATCCCAACGGTGTTTGGAATCAGAAGCGGCAACTACAGTTTATTGACAGATAACAAACATAGCAAAGCCACAAGCACACCGAGCGGATTTTGAGCAGAGACTAATATTTATGCGCGAGCGAATACGGAGGCAAATTTGTAGTCAAATCGCATAAAAGCGCAGCATAGGCCATTAATAGGATTCAAGTACATATATACATGGGGAAGATAATGATTCACCGAGCCATATTTTTAAGCCAGAGAGAAATATGTGCGTAGGCTGTCACATGCGATCAAGCGTACACATTTATACTGACAAGCTAGTGATCATAATAGAACAAAGGAATAGACAGATTGCTAATATCCAAATAACATTGTCTGTTAAATGGGTTAATAAAAGGGTTTAACAAAAGTTAACCATTATCGGAATTGATAGTAGAAGACTCTCTATAATATTTTCGTTTTGTTTTCCGTACAAACAAAAGTAATATGGCAAAGTGAATCCATATGAATGTAGGAAAAGATTGTGTTAATGAAGCAAGAATTCACACAAAATACGATTGATCCTCTTTGTTGCCTTATGTTTCATTAAAATACAGTGACATCAGAGGACAATACCTACTCTATGGCTGCAAAGAATCGTTGATTAGCAAAATTTCTTGAAAATTACTGCCAGAACTAGAGATCCTTTTGAGTTGTGCTGCTTTCGGAATCAAATTTTACTAGCTCTATTAATAACTGGTAGCCATTTTGAAAACAGTCAACTCTGTATAGTATTCTAATGAATCAGCCTATCAAAGTAATGGGTGCTGGGTTCAAGTTTCCATTGTAAACAATAAAACGTATTGTCATTCAAATAAGCCCAAGAAATATATATTCTACATTTCATTGCTGTTAACGACTCAGAATGTCATCGATGAAAAGAATTTACATATAAATTACTTAGATTAGTTGCATTTAAACGAACGATTGTCAGTACTGAGGTTATTACATTGCTTATTTACATGAGTATTTGTGACGACCTCCCATCACCCATGAATTTGTAACATGGTAATATACACAACCTCATTGTATTTAATCACAACGGTACAAAAAACAAACACAGAAAGGCCACAATAAAAAAAGCACAAATGGTTTTTCAATTTTTTTTTATGTGTATACATCCCGATCATTGTGGTCATTCCAGTTATTCTTATTTCATCACAGTCTGAATGAATTTGAAACGATTAAGTTATTAGTTGATTCGTAGTATTTTGAAGTATCATTAATTCCATATCTATTCAGTATCGGACAATGAATGGGTACTTGAACTTGACATACGATGAAGATCACTTGAAGTCCACAGAAAGCCTATAAAGAAAACAATATGACTTATTAATCAGGTCAGAATGAATTCATTCGAACTTGATGCACATATTTTATGTATGTGAGATCTGATGACATTATCCCTCTATCTAAACTGAAGTAGGTGGTTCAAACATGTAATCCAATAACTGTAAATCAGTTACTCTGAACATAAAGCCACAAAGACAGACATAGTGTCAAGTAAACTCCACGGTATATTATATTAGAACTAATGTAAACCTATGACTAAAATTATGAAATTAGAAAACCTTATCAGACGATAAAGGCAAAATAAAGTTGGGATTAAGAAATTCGAAATGAATAGTAAATGAAAAAAATACCACGAAGCCTCTGAAAATTAAGACATTTGTTTAGCACCTCTTGGTAACTATTATCATTTGACTGGTATAGGTTTGTAAAACCTGTCTTCGAATTACTGTCAACTTCAGATTTTATTTGCCAATTTGTGGAATCTTACGTATAAACACCGTTTTATTTTGATAATTTAAGTATGATGAACATGTATCGTAGTCAGCAATCAATGTAATGCCACGAAAATGATCAACGGGAAATCATAAATCTTAATAATAAGTTGTTAATATAAAAAGATTCTGGGTAAAATGCATAAGACAAAACTTACTAGAACTTGGAGTCATTGGTTCATCAAGATTACTAATTTTTGGTGTAGCCATGCCAGCATTAAATGCACTCGGTAAGGGGGTACTGTCACCACGTGGAGTTGTACTTGCTGCATGTGGTGTTTGAGCACCATATGCCAACTGTTATTTAATGGATAGAAAAGATATAACAAAAAGTAAATAACATTGACAATGGAATAAGTTTTCTGCCAATCAAGAAAGTGAACTAATGATTATGCACTGTTATATGCATTAGAAATATAAGTGTTATCGATAAGTTAACTCTAGATGTCATATTATCATTCACTGATATAATCTTTATTAGAACTGTTGACTACATATGTGAAGAAAGGTAACTGAACAGAAAAAAGATTACTACTGTGATTTTTATGATAAATCTGAGGGAACTACTTTTAAGAAAGAACATAGTTTATGTTTAATAATAAGTTGTTCGGGCAACTGGGTTACAGTGACACTTAGGAAGAATCACATCCTTGTCATGATACCTGGGAGGGGTCCAACCCATAGTAGGGTCATGGGTATTCACTGCTGAGGGAGTCCCATTCTAAAGACTCGAGGCGACTGTCTAATACTCTCAGGTTTTTAGTAGTACCCCAGCTGAGATTGATTCCCGATATGGATATTTATCTGTGATTCAGTACCTTAATGTTCACAAACCTGGAAAAATTCTTTTACACTTACATGCGCAAAATTTCTATTTCATACACAAATTGAGAAAGGAAATATTTTTTTGTTTAAATGATCTTTTCGCTATATATATATATAACTATATGGAGAGTAATATCGAAATATTTATCTGTTGGTTCGTCTGCGGTTCGGATTTCAACAGATTATTATTTATTTATTTCAACACATAGATAATGGTACAAAGAGGCATAAAATACATATGCGCCACACAAATCTCATTCGATATGTGTGAGGGCTGTGATACTGCCCGGGTGCCCAAACCGAAGCACTTAGTTTTCTTAGGGGGTCACAAACCGAGCCTTCGACCTGAAGGTCTCATCCACAAGGCAGTGGAGCATCGTAAGGAGATGTAGTCCCATGGAAGCCGGTGACCAACGATTGGTTCATACGCTATTTGTTCCTTCAGGATACTGGAGCCCATGTGCACCAATGGTTTGGAATCCGGTTAAAGCGCCGGATATTCGCTTTTCGTCCTCTCATTTTTGTAAACAACACCCCCGCCACGAGAAGGCGATGAGTAGGACCTCCCTGGTAGAGGCTGTATACGCGTGGCCATGTGAGAGCATTTCCAGAGGGAGAGCGGACTCGCCCCACTCTCGGCCGTACCAGGGCATTTGGGGGCTGATTTCAACAGAACTGTTATTTAATCTTTGAATCACGATTGAATCTCTCTTTGTTATAGTTTAAATTAGACACTTATTAATCAATATCATCAGTCGTAAAAAATAAATATAATGTATAGCCTGCTTTTATACGAAAACTGACATGATTAAAATGATTAATTAATGAATACAAACAAAATATGTTGTTAAACTGAAATATAAGAAAAACAAATTTTTTAACATCATTAAAAATGATAAATACTTACCTGTGGTGTACGCATTTCACGCATTGGTGTAATACGAGGTGTAGTAGCACCATATTGTGTATCCATGATACGACCACCACTGTCTAACAAAGCCATATTTTCACGTGCAACAGGTACTTTTTTAAATTGACTATGTAATTCCAGTACTACATGCGTTGGTGTTGCATCACATATAATACCCAATAAACCTTTTAATGTACCCTGTATAAGAATAAAAAAAAAACATTCGAAAAAAAGGTTACAGGATAATAAATTAATGAAACAATTTCCTAGTTGAAAACAAGTCTCGGATTTTGGCGCAAAATTCACTCATCCATTTGAGTGAATAGAGTTTTGGCATTGTAGCTGACAAGAGTTTGTGATGAAAACCCGAAATCTATTTACTAACCTTAATCATCAACTGTAAATTATAATTATAAGTCTTCACACAGTTTTTACGACCTCCATTTGGTCTCGGTTATTAAGTGGACACTTTCGAGGTCAGTCTGGCGTCGCTCTAAGGTCGTCCAAAAAGTATAGTCTTACTGCCATTGTCTATATTAGATAGAAAATCGAAAACACTTAGCAACAGTTGTTCATATCTCAGATCACCACGTTGCTGCAAATTATTAACCCAGATTTTGTTGAA